CAGCAATCCATCTCATCGCAGCGATCGGATCGTGCGTCTCGTCAAACTCAGGTGGCTTCGTGTTGCTGAACTCCCAAAACAGCAACGAGTCACCTCCCTGTGGTCTGGCAGCGGCCACAGCTGCGGTAGCTACAGCGGCTGCGGCCTCAGTCAACGCGGCGTACCGCTCATCAAATGTCTCCATCAGTGTGGTCTTAATAGACCCAAACATCTCCGGAATCTCAGCCCGGATCGCTGCAGCCACCTCCTCATGAATCATCTGACGAAGCTCCTCGCCACTCACACTGCTCGTACCAGGTCTGTGGCGTGGTCCAACCATGATGCCTCTGAAATACAACATAGAAATATCAGAGACTCTATCGAGCAAAAATCGCTCTGGATAACGCAACCCTATTCCGTCTCCGATACCCGGGGATTCTTACTTGGGTTGCCCACTGACCCAGTGTATTCAGTAGTACGGGCCCAATACTACCAACTACATCGCATCAGCATTCACCCTAAGTCTTCCTCCCCAAACCCCAGATCCTGAGTACTCTATTCTTTCCATGCACTAGCTACCCACTCTCTCTCATAGCACCTCATAGAAGCAGGTTTCCCTAGACTAAGGCATCACAAATCAGGCCACTCTAGTCCTAATATGAATACCTAGTCTACTAGCATGCGTATCATATCATATCATATCTCATAACTCATATTGTAAGAGTATTTTGGGGATTTTACCGTTCGGGCGCTGGCTGGCCGTACACACTTCTTCTTCTTTGGTTGTTTCAAAAATCACTTATCAATTTTATTGATTTATTAATTAAATTTTCTCAAATCCCCGGTTTGAGTTCAGTTACGCCCGAAGGTGTACCCGAATCCCTCAAACCAAGGCTCTGATACCAACTTGTAACGACGTAAATTTTAAAACCAAAATTTTCATTTTTGCAAACATCAAAACCTCGATTAATATTTTAAATTCAAACGTAAACAATATTGTCACAATCGAATACATCACAAAGATCATAAAAATAGTTTTCCCCGATAATGTGTACGATCACACCGGCGCCTTCCCACGGTCCTCGCTAGTACCTGAAACACATAACACAACAACTGTAAGCATAATTGCTTAGTGAGTTCCCCAAAATACAACCTACGCATATATGCCTTTCCAGGCCCTGACCTTCCGGTCCATGTGTCTCAGGAGACTTCCGTCCCGACCGGGTAAACCTTTCGGTCCTACCCACGTCAACCTCATGGTCCATATTACAACGCCTTCCGTCCCATAACATATTCGCCTTCCGGCCCGTAACATAATGCCTTCCAGCCCATATCAAGCATATCATACATGGAACATATAACGATTAACTTATCACACATAATGCATATATCTCATATCATATTCGACCTTTCGATCACACAGTCAAACCCTTCCGGGTACAGTATAGTGAGAAGACTCACCTCGAATATCTCGATAACTAGCGAATCCTGGAAATCACTCATGCTCGATCCCCCGAGCTATAATCCTCCTATAACATCATATATCTCTAATTAATACTTTTACCACTAAGGTTGACTACCCCTATCAAGTCAACACTGGTCAACTCTGGTCAACGGTCAACGGTCAACTTGACCGGACTCGGCGAGTGTACTAGAGCGACTCGGTGAGTCTAAACGTTTTCACCAACTCTCTAGGATTCTCTTTTGACACGTCGAGTACTCCCCTGACTCGACGAGTTCCACCTGGCATGAATCGCGGGGCCACCACGACTCAACTCGCCGAGTCACAAGAACAACTCGGCGAGTTCCAGCTCGACTCAGTCCACCTGTCAACCCTCTCTAACTCTCCATGACTCACTAAGTCAACCATAACTCGGCAGGACCACTCACTGAGTGGTTAAGGACAATCTTCATGCTACTCGTCGAGTCTGTTATTCAGACTCGGCGAGTCCATGCCATGCATCAACTCAATCTCGCTTCTGAGGTCAGATCTGCTCCATCCACACATAGATCTGGCCCTCCTAAGCTCATTCATCATGTAAAGTCACAATCTTGGCTACCATGCAACACCCACAAGGCTCTTTTTGGAGAAACGACCTCTAAGATGGCAACCCTAGTCTCCAACCCAAAAGGAAGGACATAAAGCATAGCATTAGGGACTTTCTGGACCTGCTAAGGTCCAGATCTAGGTACCATATCCCCATGGGACCTCTCACACTTCAATTAAAAAGCTCTGAATGATACCTCAAGAAGCTTCCCCTGGCGAAATGGAAGTAGATCCAAGCTCCCCAACTCTTCTAGCTTGACTTTCCCCTTCCTTTCTTGCAAAATACGCACAAATTTGGTGAACAATGGCCTCTTATCTCACTCACAGGAACCCTTAGCTATTTTGGTGCTCTCAAGGATCAAGGTAGCCGTAATGAAGGGCCATAAGGTCCTTTAAATAGGGCTTAGGACCGGGAAATTAGGGTTTCATTAAACAGCACGGACTCGCCAAGTCCAGGCGCGAACCCGCGTCCAGAACCGTGATCCTACTCAGCGAGTTTAAGCTCCAACTCGCCGAGTCCCCTCACAAAACACCAAAAATATAATGAATTAAAGATACCTGGAAATCCGGGTTGTTACAGTATGAGAAAGTTATGGTCGTTTGAAGTTTATATGAAAGTACATTGTTATTTTGAGAAAGTAAACGAAAGTCAAGTCAACGGTCATTTATTGATTCCCGTGATGTGGAAATAAATTACCATGATGTGAAAATAAGTATGAGTCACTAAGACACATGTCAACCGGAGAGTGACATGTGGCAATTGACCCCCCTACAACATGACATAAAAGGCCACGACATGACACTTGATGAGTGATTTATGACACGGGGCAGAAGAGTGTTATACGTGGCAAAATATGAAGGCCATGACGTACCGGTGCCTAAGGTATAAAAACGAGTGTTTTGTATCATTTGGGGAGTTTTGGTACGTGATCAGAGATGCTGCTCGAGATTTGTTCTTGGGAGATTATATTAGAGATGTTATACTATTGTACGGGAGATACGAGTCAAGTATGAGATGTGTTGAGGTATTTTTTACCCCGTTAATTTATGATTTCAATATGTTGTACTTATTAAGATATATTTGACCCTGATATGAGTTACGGGTATTCATGATTTGGTGTTGTTACAAACTCGTTAGTAAGACTAGTGACTAAATCTTATAACTAAAGATTTAGTCGAGACTGTAAGGGTTATAAAGCCTAATATTTGTAAAATGCATGTAATGAGAGATTTAACTAAGGGCTTACAGATTTAACCTATTATGTTAAGCTTATGAGATTTGATTAGTTTGGTGACAAGATGTCCCTGAAGGTAGTTAGTAGTGAGTTATGACAAGTTTTGAGAAAATTTTATTTAATGATTAGGTGCGACCACATTACGAGATGATAGTCAGCGAATGAACTAGAATAAGTCTGCTGACTAATCAGGTGAGGAACACTACTTTAACATCCATTGATGTGTTATTTGTGATATACTTTATATGATCTAAAATGATTAATTATTAATGAGTAATGGATTGGTAATAGAATGATTGGTTATCATGAGAGATTGATATTTGGTTGATTGATATTGATTGAGAGATGAATCATATTAAAAGGATAAATCATGTCTGAGTAATTATTGTATTAGATTTTGTGATATTTAAGATATATGTGCTATTTGATGTATGAATTATACATAGATTTAAATAATTGATTATTGTTAAGAAATTATTTATTATTATAAGTTAAATCATTATTGAGAAATACATTATAAATGATGGATTAATTATGATTAACAGATAAATTATGATAGATAAATTATTCATGAATAAGTGATAGATTTGGATAAATAGATTAATTTCCATTGAAAGTGACAGATATTAATAGATAGATTTATTAATATTGAGAAAGACAAATTATGATGGTGAGAAATATTGATAGATTAATTGTGAATTAAAAGATAGATCATGAGAGAGAGAGAGAGAGAGAGAGAGAGAAAAGAGGGAAACTAACAACCGACACCCATATAATGCAATCACCCATTTTGAATCATGAAATTGTAACCTCCTTTTAATGATTATAACTGCATATATCATCCATGAAAATCATCAATACAACGTCGTTTCAAATATTTTCATAAACAAAAGATTTTTTGTAAATATCATCTATGAAAATCAGGGATATTTTGATCAAATAACTAATTTTTTTATTAAATCTTAAATAAATTAATAAAATTATTCTAAGTTTATTTTCTCTTAGTGATAAAACAAACTAACATTTTTTAAAGTAATATTTGTTTATTTCATCAATCAGTCCTATATCTCGATCAGAGGTGCACAAAGTGAATTGGATTTTTGAGAACCAGTTAGGGTAAAGCTAAACCAGTTTAATTCTTTACTGGAATTCACTTCCAAAAATATCAAAATAATAATAATAATCCTTCTTAATAAATGAAGGGTTTTTTATTTTTTATTTTATTTTATTTATTTTTTTTAATTTTTTTTTTACCATATTTCAATCTCTTACGAGTTTTGATACTTGTCATTTTATGATATTCTTGAAATAAATATTATCCATTTTTTAATTTTTGATTTGTTTCAGTTTTTTAAATTAAAATCATATACTTATATATGTAAAGTATTAAATGTCATATATATGATATTAAATTGCAATAAAAACGTTTCTTCATTTTTTATTTTAAAGTTGTACATTAAAAAATATTTTATGTTTACACTTCAATTTAATGTTTAATTTTTTTTTAAATCAATCCATGTAATATACGGATCTCACACATAATAATAATAATAATAATAATAATAATAATAATAATAATAATAATAATAAAAAAGTTGAATACCTTTATATGTACAACGCCTCCCAAACCCAACAAACCAAACACCTAAACACCAACCAATGATTGGGCCGGTATCATTCGAAATCAGAGCTATTGGATTATAAACGCAGCCCAATTCCAAACAGCAAAACCCGAACAAGAATCAACAATGGAGACAAAAGAATCGTCTTGCGCAAGAAACACGCAACGCGAAATCAATAAAAGGGCTTTTGAATCAATTGATTCGTTGATGAGAGCTGATTCTCCTAGCACTCTGAAGCGAAGAAGACTCACCACTATCGATCATATGGAATCTCAATTTGCCGCGGTTTGTCCTTCACTCATGTGTTCTTAGTTTCTACGAAGTATATTTAATTAGGGTTTTTTCGTTTTTACATGATGTGGTACATTCTTATTAATTGATCAATGTCAATCTCTACGGAAGTGTTTCCCTCTTGATCCAATTGGTCGAATTACTTGTTGATCATTCATAAACGCTAACTGAATCTCTAGAACTTTATCGAGGCAATTACCTGTTTTTTTAGTTAACTGATACTGGATCAACTTATGCGGGTTTGGAATCGATCAAGGATGAGAAATTGAGGACTGTTCTCATTTTCGATCATGCTGATTACTATAATATTAGGCTCAATCTTGTTCTTTTGTAATTAAGTTCTTTACATGTTATATCACTAAAGAAGAACATTGGCTTAAGGATTTTAGCTGTTGATACACTGAATGTACAATATTTCAAACACTTAATGCCTTGTAATGACATAAATCAGGAAAAGCTTGCTGCAGCAAAGCAAAATTATGGAAGAGATATTCGTGTATTTGAGACAACAACTTCTTCTCACACATCAAATGAGCCAATTAACGAAGGTATATACCCACATGACAAGACAGGACAAAAGACGTAAATGCCCTTATACCTTCATTATAAAAAAAATCCCTACAAATCTTGCAGTAAGGTTTAATGACTTTTGTAATTTCGCAGAAGAGCCGGATGAGTTTTTTGAATTCACTGCGGAAGATTATTATCGCATCTTGGCTACAAAAAAGGAAGGTGAGAATATTTATATTTATATTTATATGGTAATTTTATTAAAAACCAAAGTGTGTTTTTATTCATCCCAAATTAAATGAATTATTTTCTTTTGTGGATATGGACAGATAAAGTTATGAAGACAAAAAAACTCCGAGAAGCAGAAGAAGCCACTCGTAGATCAAGAATTACCAAGGTACTATTTTCAATGATGAGGATAAGAAGGGCATTCTCGTCTTTTTGCTCAAACGAGAGATTAAAATAACTGATGACTGACAACTGACAACTAACAAGTCCCTATCCCACCTTTTTAGATGTGACAAAAAGTTGCAATTCTTGTCTCATTGACATCTGTCTCAGTCCAGTGTATGTCAAGTGCATGACAAACAGACAAACATACAGTACACAGTACAACCTGTTTTGTCCTGTCTAACTACAATTTCTTGTTTTTATAGGCGGTGATTCGTGTGAGGTTCCCAGACAACCATACGTTAGAAGCCACATTTCATCCATCAGAGACGATGCAAAATTTAGTTGATCTTCTTATAAAAGTTGTGGCTAGACCCGATTTACCTTTTCATATATGTAATCATATTTGTAAATTCCTTTTTTTTTTTTTTTTTTCTATAAGTTTATAATCATTTTAAATTAGGTAGTATTTGTTATATACTAATATTTTTTTTTTCATAGTTACTACTCCTCCAAAGAAGCTAATAAAAGACATGTCTCAAGATTTTTACTCTGCCGGATTTGCCCCTGGTGCAATTGTCTATTTTTCATACGATCAACCAAAAGGTATTATTTTTTTTTAATAATTGCATTTTTTGTTTTCTTTTTTCTATGATCATATCATATATTTAATATTTGTTACTTGTAATAATGGATGATAAATTAACTTGATGTTAACTATGATATATTTTAAATTAACATTTATGTTTCAAAAAATTTTAAAATAATAATTTAAAACACAATATATGTTTTAATAAAATACATAATTGACATAGTATGATAATCAACTAGTTGTGAGACCCATGTGTTATATGGGTTAATTTAAAAAAAAAAAAGTTAAATATAAAGGTCAAAATATTTGTGAACTTTGAATTTATAAGAAAATAATAAAAATAATGAACTATTATAATGTAAATGTTTGTTATCTTTTAAATTTAAACAAACAATTTAAATCAAGAAAAGAAACTAATGAACTTTAATTTTAGGAATTTTGAAATTAAAAGAGAAGTTTATTAATAAAATTAATATCCATTTATTGCTACATTTATTACAATTATATTAAAATATTATGTAAAATTTAATAAAATAGGAAAACTCATAAAATGACATGTGGAAAAAAAACATCAAAATGACATTTGCCAAATTGAATGACAATGTGACAAGTGGCAAAAAAACATTCATTTATTAGGAGAGGATTTGAAATTTGTTTTATACAAATAATTTACAACGGTTATATTTATAAATATTATTTTTAAATTTCATCCGATAAAAATAATTGAGTCAAATTTGCAAGAAGCTAATAAATATAAAAGGGTATTCTTGATTTATTTTGGTTATAATTCTTTTAATAATACAATTTATGAGGTTATCTAAATAAAATGATGCGAGTTGAATTTGTAAAAAACTAACAGATAGAAAAGGTTATATTTGTAAATTGTAAATTCCAATGGAAATTTGTCAACGTGTAGTGTTTTATGGGTGTAGGTGATGGTGATGCTGACGTGGCATTCCTTAAAGAGGAAGTGATGGCTTTGAAAGGTCTTGAACTTGTAGCCGAACCGGAGAAGCCTACGGTTGACCAATTGACCACCGTGCCTGTGGTGGCTGCCGCCCCTCCATCGGCTCAAGAGCGGAAGCCGGCTGCCGATAAAAAGATGGTTAAGCCAAAGTGGTTGAAAATGTAACAATTTGTCAGACTTATAAAATCAAAGTTTTTAAAATGTGGATTATATGTAACCTTCTTTCTATAAGTCGATATGTTTGTGCAAAAAGATTATTCTCGTGGGCCCATAGGGATGTAAGGTTGATATAAAATCCGAAAATCGGTCTGCAAAGAGCTCAATCCACATTGAAACTGACTAATCTTGAATACTTTTTAAGTAGAAATGGAGGTGACATTGATATTTTTGTGTTATTAGTTCGATATGAAAAATATAAAGGTAATGGGAGTTTAATACCGAAGATAAATGACATTAAGTAGAGTTAGTTGTCAAGATTGGGATTATATATATATATATATATATATATATATATATATATATATATATATATATATATATATATATATCATGGTTAAATAATAGAAAAGAAAGTAACGAATCTGACATGGTTAAATAATTGAGTTTTTGATTGTAATAGGGTTATTGGAAAAAAATATTTATCATTTTAGAGTTCTTTAAAAAATATTTACCAAAATGGTATTACTTTAATTTCAAAACTAATATCATTGTTTTTTTAAAAAGAAAAACACGTTTTTTTGACTACACTGAAAGGTTGGAACGAAAACAGAAAAGAAAAAAAGAAATCGTAAGTGCAACTAGGGCTCCACCTGTTCGTTCGTCGTTCTATCGTCGCACGTCCACCATCATCGTCTGCCTGCGGCCTCCTCTATCCGTCGCCGATGACCTGTAACCTCCTCCACCCTTCGCTCCATTCAAGGTATGCAAAGTTGTTATCGATTTTGATTCTTCCTGCTCGTTTTCTATTTAATTTTTTGCATCTCTATTATTAAATTGTTGCTTCTAGATTCCGATTCTTAAGTTTTTTGTTTGCTTTTCGCTTATCTATTCTGTTTTTCTCAATTCTGCTTTTAGTTAGGATGAATTGTTGATTAATTTTTGCTTTTGTTTATTTGCTTTTGTAGATGGAAATTCACAACTTGTTTTTTTAATCATTTTGTAGATGGAATTGATTGAAAACATGTCATTATGCTTCTTTTTTCTTGTTATCACAAATTCGTATGATCATTTTTTTGCTTGTTTTTGTTTGTTTTGTAGATGAATTCTATTATAAATATGATTGACAATGATATTTTTTCTATAATTTCTCAAGTTGTTGTTGTGATTAATGTGATGAATATAGACAATGAAGTTGAGTTAAATGAAATACTGGAAGATGGAATTGGAGATGAAGATGATGAGGAAGCATCTTTTGACAATAATGTTGAAGTACCTTCAATTTTTATTAATATGGAAGGAACAAATTTGACTATTGATGACAATTGGATTATGAAACAATTAACGAGTAAGAATTGATTTTACGTGAGAGTTGGGAAAAGATTCTTTCAAGGATAAAGATGAACTTGTTAGAGCAATCAAGATCCATAACATTAGGACACATAGACAATTTGAGGTCATTGAGTCGCGCCCAACCATTTGGACTCTAAGATGCAAGTTATACTTACAATCTGGTTGCAAATGAAAACTTCATGCAAGTAAACGTAAAAGTAGTGGTTATTTTGGAATCACAACATATACCAGTCCGCATACTTGTTTACACTAGCGTTCTCTAGACCATCCGAACCTAGATGCAAGCTTGATTGTTATAGAAACTAGATACCTTATAAAAGAGCAACCTTCTATCAGTATTCTGACTTTGAGAGCTGGAATAGTTGAAAAATTGGCCTATACTCCTTCATATAAGAAGGTTTGGGTTGGAAAACAAAAAGCAATTGAACATGTGTACTTAAAGGTGTTCGTTTTTTACCAATCACAGCTTCTGTTTAACTTACATTCTATATAATGGTGCATTATTTTGAGGTGAGACGTCCTTTAGGATCTAGTTCTCAAGCTCATGGAGATGCACATACTCCACATGTTATTGTAAAACAAGTAGCTTTGATGGCAAAAGCAAATGCACATTCCTTAAGATCTTTTAACCGAGAAAAATGTATATTTGAGTTGATTAGGTCGAAATGTGCAACTAGTTAATTTGGAACAAAAAGTTGCACATGTGGTAAATTAGAAACATTTAAATATCCTTGTGAATATGTTGATAGATGTTACTCGATTGAACACTATTGTGCTACTTGGGCATCTAAGTTCTCCCCACTTCCTCACGAAGCGTATTGGCCACAATTACCATTTAATGAATTACTTCCAAATTTAGAACTATTACGAAATAAAAAAATGTCGTTCTCGTTCAACAAGACTAAAAATGGTACGAATTTTAAAGAAGGAAGAGAAATGTTAATCTTTGTGAAATTTATAGGCAATCAGGACATAATCGAAAACGATGTTTGTCTATGCCAAGGTAGCTTAAAAAAATATATATTTATGATATTTGTTGTGGTTATTCTCTTATTTTGTTTTTCTTTTTATTATAGGTAAGGACTTGTTACCGGTTCAAGATCAGACTAATTGTGATGTTTTTTTTTTTTTTTTTTTTTTTTTTTTTTTTTTTTTTTTTTTGTAATAAACAATGATATTTTTTTTGTAACAAGCAATGTTGATTTTTTTTTACCTTAAAACATTGTATGTGAATGTTTGAGTTTTTGCACCTTAAAATTTGATTATGGTGGTGATTTTTGAATGTTGAGGCTAAAATTTGATGATAAAAAAGTTGTATAAGAAAAAAGATATCTAAAAAAAAAAAAGTTGTTATTAAAAAAATAGTAAAAAAAGGTAAAAAAAAAAAACTAAAATAAAAACCACCATATATATATATATATATATATATATATATATATATATATATATATATATATATATATATATATATATATATATATATATATATATATATACAATAAAAAAAAGTGGAATACAAGTGAAAAAAAAGTAAGATATTTAAAATTAAAAAAAAAAACTGAAAAGAAAAATAAGAAAAATACCATTTTGATAAATATTTTTGAAAGAACATTAAAATGGTAAATATTTTTTTCAATCCTATTATGGTCAAAAACTCTAAATAACTAAAAAGTATAGTAATACTAATTATTTATTATACAAAATAGCAACTTACAACCTTCATGTTATTTGTTTTAACTATAAGCAAATCGATAACAATTTCAACTTTTAAAACTCAAATAAAAACAACAATTTCTCAAGTTCTTAAGGAAAAATGCATGAACAGTTAACAAAAAAAAAACTTGAAAAACGCTCACTTTAATTGTTGAGCTTGAAGTATTGATGGATGAAATTAATAACAAGCCAAAGCTAAATCTCAAATTCTACCTTGGATGAAAGTAAAATGTAAAAGGAATATATATATATATATATATATATATATATATATATATATATATATATATATAGAGAGAGAGAGAGAGAGAGAGAGAGAGAGATCGGTTTAGGTGTTTTAAGTAAGTATTGTATTATTGTATGCATAAATATGGACCAATAAAAATTAAATAATTAAATAACTAAATAAAGGTAATTTAATAATTTGATTAGTAACTTCCAACATGGTATTGATTTTAACCTAATCCCTTCCGTTTAAATCTCGTTCCCCTCTTTATCTAAAACCAAATGTTGGCCGATCTGCAAAGGAAAAGGGATGCGAGTAGCAACAGGGGTTAAGCGAATCTTCGAAGGCTTCACTCGATAGGAACAAAAGAGAGAGTGAGGGGTTGAGACCTGAAGAGGTTCCGACGATAGGTGAGGCGTCGGTGGCATTGGATCGATGGAAGAAGAATCTGTCTGCAATTTAGGATCCACCTCGTGATGAGGTTGATTCTGCTATTGAAGAGTGTTGTGGAGCGGGAATAAAAGTGTGGGTGATAACCGAAGACTATAAGTCAACCGCAGAGGCCATTTATAAAGAAATCGGGCATAAATGTGGGCCCTGAAGTTACTTAATCAGGTACATGATTTCATCGAATGTTGGGGAGGTTATATCGATTTTCTTGAGTGCGACAGTGGGGATACCAGAATGCATGATCCCTGTGCAGCTTCTATGAGTGAACCTGGTACGGATGGTTCACCTGCTACTGCACTTGGATTTAACCCAACTGTTGTTGATATCATGAGGAAACCACCTCGTAAATTCAGTGATGCCCTCATAGACTTATAGGTTCTGTTTCGCTAATTGGTGATTGGTTGTTATGTCGGGATTGCAACTGTTGGTGTGTTTGTTGTGTGGTACACACAGGCCTCCTTCTTGGGTGTCGATCTAATAGGAGAGGATGGGCCTACGCTTGTTTCGGTATCTCAGCTCACAAACTAGGGAGACTGTTCTTCTTGGCACGATTTCTCAGTCGCACCATTTTCTGTCAACAACAACCGAGTCATGGCTTTCTCAAACCCCTGCGACTATTTTACCACCGGAAAAGTCAAAGCAATGACTTTGTCCCTCTTGGTGTTGGTGGCCATCGAGATGTTTAATCCCCTAAATGCCCTTTTCTGAAGACAACAGTTTGCTAACAATGCCTCCTTGGAAGAACCCTTACCTCCTTGTTGCCATGGTTGTTTCGTTTGGACTCCTTAGGCTTCTCGGTGTGGTACGCGGTTTGGAACCGCGGTCATGCCACGTGGGACAGGAACACCGCCCCCAGGGTGCGGTTTGGGGCGGTCGAGACCGCACTACGGCCCTTGAAGACCGCGTTCTGTGATTGGCTATTCCTTTCTTGACCGTTCAAAGATTCGTTCCATTTAATTTTTTTTAAACCTTTTACTCCATCTATATATACATATGTTATCATTTTTACATTTACACAACCTTTAAACACATATAAATACAATCATTTTATCAATTTTCTTTGAAAAAATATATTCTTCCAAAAGACCTAGCAAAGAAAAAACACCAGCCAGAAACACCAACACCCCAATACCTTCATTTGATCAACTGATTTTCTCACCTCCGTATTACCACTATGGCGGTATGTTTCCTTCTTTTCCACAACGACCAGGGCAACCACATCCACAAACACCACCACTACCACAACCCGACCCGGATTTTAATCCATTTGATTTTTTGTCCCAACCCGAGTTTGTGCAACAAACACAAACACAACCAGAAACGGTCGTTTCTGATTCTGAACCATAATTCGTTACAGAAACTCAGCCCACTCGAGCAACGAATAAAAGAAAAGAGAAGGCGGAGGCTAGATGTTGGGAACCTTTGGAAGCGTTGGTGTTGGCACAATCTTGGATCGATATTTCAGAAGACGCGATGGTTGGAAAAGACCAAAAGCATGACCGCTTTTGGATTTGCATTTTACACAGGTTCCATAAAGGAATGAACCGTGGAGAATACCGTTCAAAACATCAAGTGTACTCAAAAATGGGGGAAGATGAACAAGGAAGTCATGTTGTTTAATGACTTGTGGAACAACATGAAGCGTCAATGGAAAAGTGGAGAAAGTGATGAAGTCATTTTGAAGAAAGCCTTGAAAGTGTATCAAAAAGAAAATCTGAAGGCTTTCAAGTTTCTTGAAGTTTGGAAAATTTTGAAAGATAACAAAGAAATGGCTGAGTAGCAAAACATCTGACCAACATATCGACAGTGGGTCAAAACGCAGCAGAACATCTGAGTCCGATCACACTACATCAGATGCTCGTGTTCAGTTTGATCTGAACGAAGATGAATCTGTTCCAGTTTCACCACCTTCCCGACCATTGGGAAGAGACAAATCAAAAAGCAAAGGCAAAGGCAAAGCGTCAGATTCAGATGATTTGAAAGAAATGGGAACCGACATGAAGGATATAAAAGAGAGAATGGACAAGATTTTGAAAATTGGTTCTGAAAGAGAGCTTCAGGAAACAAAGGGAGAGCGACATGCGAATACTAGCAATGGACACGTCGAATATGACCGGGGCCGAGCTTGAATTGGTTTTGGCGATGAAGGAGGAAGTGAAAAACCGTTACATGAATCGTGGCTAATTTCTAGTTTTTTTTTTCAAGTTTTTAATGGTTTCTTGTGTGTTTTTTTTAAAGTTGTTGGTTTTGTGTTTCTACTTTGTTTTTCTAAATTTTT